GCTTGGTCTTTTTCGGTGACAAAGCATCGGAGATAGCTAGCCACCCCTACGGGGGCAGAAAGAACCCGAGAATCCTCTGGGACCGAGATAATAATTGATCGCTTATGCCCGGGATCGACACTGGGGGCGAGAAACTGATTGGTTAGTTTAAAGCTCGAGGAAGCCTCACTCGAGCTCTTCCTCGGTACCTCCAAGTCACCCAGACTGGTGACATCCTCCACTCCAACAAAATAGCCACAGAAAGGGTCTTCGACTCAGTGAATGTAGGAAACGAGGGAAAATCTTTGATAACTATCCCCCTAGGTAAATCTTTTGGGGAACCGCCTTCATCTCGGGGAGCCTCGAGCATGGTTTCTACACCAGCATCAATCGCCTCCTCGATAGCCTTCTCACCCCGAGGTGATGCGTCTTCATCTCTTTTTGGCTCGGGGACTTCGGCCGATGCTTCCACCTAAAGTCAAGGCAGAGCAATTTCAGCTCCCACCAGCTCAGTAGTTCCTCGAATCTCGGTGCCAGCTCGCACACGAGCCACCAGCCTAGAGTCTTCTTCTTCTTCTTCAGCCTCATCCCTTAGCCGTTGGACTTTCTCTAAAGTTAGAGGGATGATGTTCCCCTTGGGTTTACGGGCTGTTTTCTTTTTGGGTTTCTGCCTCTCATAGTTCATGGAATTCAAAGCCCTTTTCCTCTTCTTCTCCATCACCGGCTTCGAGACAGATGGCAGGGGAAGGATTTCTTCATCACCAGATGGGGGCCTCATCGTCTTATCCTTCTCGAGACCTACAAAAGAAGAGAAATGAGTAAGATCGAGAAAAATATCGAACAATGGTCAAATCATTAAGTCAGGAAGAAAAATTTACCATGACTACTAGCCTCCCATCGACCCTCCACCAAATCCGTGTTCAGCATGTGTCCACTGCGATATTAGGCTCCTAACCCAGTCCTTGAGTTGGGGAACCGCACCCGACATCAAGGCAACGGCTGCATCAAGTAAAACACTGATAAGAAAGGGTGAAAAACGAAGATAATAAACAGAAATTAAGGACGAAATTATACTTACGATTCATATTCCATTTCTCAGGAAATGGCATGCTCTCGGTCGAGATCAAGTCCGAGGTCTTCACTCGAACAAATCAGCCCATCCAGCCCCGGTCTTTGAAAGGTGCCCTGGTGGCCCGACGGTGAAGCTTTATTAGTCCTCCTCGATAAAGTCGGGGGCTATACAGGCGTATGAGGAGGTCGAGGGTGAAGGGAAGCCCATTGACTTTGCTTACAAAGAAACAAAGTAGTATCACTATCCTCAGAAAGATGGATGAATCTGACCGAGGGTCACCTCGTATTTCTTACAGAAAACTATGATAATTTAATCCAAGGGACCCAACGTGAAGGTGTAAGTGTAAACACTTAAGAACCATACCACATGGGTGGTGACTGATTCTTCTGGAGCAGGCATCACCACATGTTTCTTATCGTATTTGCAATCTTTTTAACCTGGGAGAGGAGGTTATCGGGTATCGAGCATATATACCTCGATACCGGCTTGCATCGACCCGGAACTGAGGAAGTCTTTTCAACCTTGAAATCGGAATCGATAACACATCCTCTGGGAAAGAACTCTTTAGGGCGTGGCCCCGCCAGTGGTTCCTCTCCGGCCGGTCGGGACGAGGAAGCAATTTCCTTTTGCGAAACAATTTTTAAAGTTTTAGCCATTTAATTTTTATGGACGAAGAAGAATAGAAATTAAAAAGGAATACTTGGTATTTTGATAGAACAAGCGAAGAAACCCAGAGATCTGAAAATACAAAACGTTGAGGAAGGAAAAGGAATTTGAAGATTAGAGTGAAGAAGATTTGAAAGTAAAGTTTGAAAAATGAAGAAGGAGGGTATTTATAATTTCTCAATGACGGTTCAAAGTCGGTAATGGCCGACCGTCGACTGATGCACATTAAATGATTGGGAAACTGTACCGACGAGATGTTTCAGTTACCTCTACTGCTTACGCCATGATGTATCGAGGTAAAGATCGAGGGCTCAAATCGTTTCTTGTCATTACTCTCCAAAAAATGAGGGGACTATCTGTATACGGTCAAAATCGGGCTTGCCCTTTTTGTATGATTAGTCGAGACCAGGGCGTGATAGGCCAAGGCTCGACCTCATGTCGTATTGGACCATGACGAGAAGTTAGATTGCCAAGCTCGTGGCTCAGAGACCGATCGAGATCGAGATCGGCCAAGATCGAGGGAAGCCTGTCGAGCCAAATAACGGAAAGCCAAGATATCCGCGATCGGGTGAGGATCAAGGCGGAAATCTCGGCACATATCGAGAAGAGGCCGATTAATCAGCTAATCATGGGATTTCTTACTGTATTTAGGATTGTATTAAGGGTAGGACTCCTGTACTATATAAAAGGGGGTATGATCATTTGTAAAGCAGATCATATTCACGCAATACAAAGCAATATACTGTCTTTTTCTTAAGCTCTCAATACTCTGTTACTTTTTTCATACTTTCCAATGAAATACTTGTTTGATTCGAAGGCGACCTAGCTCGAGGATCAAATCAATACATTTCCTTTGGTTTGCTATATTTCTATTTGCAGTTTATTTCAATATCAATTTGCGTTTTTCCTCAGTTTGTGCCAAGCAAAACCACGTGTCCTTAAAACCACAATATAAATTCAATTATTATCCGTTTTAGGGTAAACAATGTCTAAATCATAGGGCTTATGGCCTTAACTCGCACGGAGAAAGAGAATAAGAGTGATGAACTTGACTCATTTTCTAGGAAAAGAAGGAACTGCTATAATAACCACTAGTACGGGCGTTTTACTCTCTTCCATCTTCTCTTTGATTGTTTTTTTATAAGACGAGTATTTTACGATCTGTTTTTTGTGTAAGACCAAGGTGCGTACTACTTACCTTGCTCGCCCACTTATTTTTTTGGCTGATTCGTATCTTGTTGGGTGAGACTTATAGAAAGAAAAGATATAGGGCAACCATGCATAGTACTTCTCGGCCCCATCTCCAAGCAACATTTGGACTAGCGAGTTATGAATGTTGTTATGTTGAACGAGTCAATAAGACAAGGTGTTTAGTCTTTTTTTTTTGGGGGGGGGGGAGGTTTGTGTCGGAATTAAAATAATTTGTTGCTATCACGACCCAAACCAATGGACCGCGACGGGCACCCAGTGCCTTACTCAACCGAGTACCAATGTAATGTATCTTTCATATTATTCTATAATAGGTAAATGAACCAGAAAGGCTGTCATGAGATAATTAGAACAAAGCATGAGGGAATACTCGACATAGGATGACCCAACATAATATACCAACTTATACATATGATGTATGGGCCTATAAGTCCAAAATGATCACTCGTACACTGAACATAGGCCGACAAGGCCATACAATCTTTCATATACATGACATATGTCTACAAGTCTCTAAGAGTAGATAAATACCATTAAGATAGAGACAGGGCCCCACCATACTAATCAATACATGTCCAAATCATACTGACCAAATAGGCAACTCTGGAGCAAATGGAGCGCACCAACACCTTCCGCTGAGCTGATAGCCTATTTGGAGGACTCTCAACCTGTTTATCGGAACCTACGTGCATGAAATGCAGCATCCCCAGGCAAAAGGGACGTCAGTACAAATAAAGTACCGAGTATGTAAGGAATGAAAAATCAGTAAATAAAAGACATGAGAGAAACATGGAGTAAAAGACTCAACATGTAAGTCTGAATAACTCTGTGAATTATTTAATACTTATAATGTCATGCATATACGTATAAATGTCATACCATGCATAGGTATATGCGTACGTAACATCATCGAGCCTCTAAGGGCATCCCATCATATCATCTCGGCCCTGTGGGCAAAATCATCAACGTATACCAGCGGATAAGGTGGTGATGCGTATATAACGCCGTAACCTTTTCCCATATCCCATATACATATAATATACGCGTATATAACACCATCTGGTATGTGTCAATGTACATGTATAAATGAATGGAATGCATAAGAAGTAGGTTAATAAGATTTCTTGGAATGTCATAAGATCAATATGCCTTTGATTAATATCATGAAATAAACTTTATCAACTTACGTATTTTGTAAGGATTATTTTGTCAAAATCCTCTAAACATGCCACCTAGCCATATAGCCAAAGAGTCATTTCTTAGTCTTAGCAATTTAAACCCCTTGCTGCCACGTAATGTTTCCACCAAACTTATCCAATTACATTTTTAATCTCTCACCAAAAATCCATAATTAACCAATTATTCATATAATTAAGAATTATCTCAAATTACTTAAAATACTACTCACTTTTAACACACTTTATACATCTTACTATCATGGTCATGTGGTACCTTGTATGGCACTAGTCCATAAATACGGGGTATTATAGCTTGGACCGTATTTTATTTCAAAATGTCAAACCTCGACGAAACTCATTTTCTTCGATTCGCTTACCCTCTCACCTTCACGAATTTACTTATCACTTGTTATAAATGGCATAATACTTATAACCTCAAAATAATCTTGTCCTTGAACTGATATCAATTATCTTGCGACAAATCCAATGTACAATACTACGGGGTGTAACATGCTCCGTTTCATTGCACATGTGTCTGATCCACATTGGTAAGTTTTGGAATCCAATCTTATTATCATCTCAAATAGATTTAATGAAGCACAGATGCTATATTTTTTTGGGGGAAAAAAGGCATTTAGGCCCGTTTTAAAAAAAAAAAAAATACAAGAAAAGAAAGGAAAAATGCCAAGTTTGAACTAACATAACTACCTAGAATAAATTACATAACAATCTTGTAATAAATGGGAAAAAGTCAAAGAAGGGCCTAAATTCACTCAAATTCAAGAGAATGAGAGGCAAATTGTACCTCCTAATATTTGGATCTCCCAATCACGTGTCCTAAAATCATCGGTGTAATAGCAGAATTTCAACTAATTATTTTCCACAAGAAAAGTTAGTGAATTTTCCATTAGACAGGGTGTTTTCTTTGTTGTTTGTTTAATCTCAATAACAAAGAGGTTAGATCATTTGTGGGCAGAAGAGCTTTCTTGTTGAAGTTTTTCTCTCTGCCATTTCTAACTCTTAAAAAAGTTATTGAGATTTAATTTCAGGTTTTAAAAACAAAAGCAGAGAAGACATAAAAAAGAATAAAAAAAAGAAGAAGAGAAGAATGGCATTCACAGGAACATTGGATAAATGCAAAGCTTGTGATAAGACTGTTTATTTTGTTGATTTGTTGACTGCTGATGGTATAACTTACCATAAATCTTGCTTCAAATGCAGCCATTGCAAAGGCACTCTTGTGGTGCATTTTCTTTACCTTTTCTTTTTTTAATATATGTTCCTTGTCGCAACATGGACGGTCAAAATTTACGTATATAATTGACCCAACTTGCTTGTAATTGAAGCATAGTATATGTTGTTCTTGTTGCAACATCCCTTATCCATTTTTCAAGAAATTAACCAAGAAGTTTCTCTCTATCCTAAATCCTTTTTGCTTGCTTATATTTTTTTACCTTCTATCTCCTTCAATCGTTAAGTATGGTTATCCAAAGGCACCCTTTTCCCCGCCTCAAAAAATATCAATGACAACTATATTTTAATCCCAAGTAAGTTAGAGCTGGCTGTGTCACTATGTTTAAAGCCGTCACATATTATCATTACTAAGTTACGCTAGTTGCCAAACTATCACAACCCTCTTCTTTTATCCAGACCTTGAACCGCAATAGTGCAGGCTCACACATGCGAGGAGTCCCCCCTCCCCCTCCCCCAACCCCCCCAAAAAAAAGGCCTCTAGGAAAAACTAGACATAGTGACAAATTTTTCATCTTCCTTGCACTTATAATTAGAAAATTGTTGTATAGCTTTCATTTGATGTAGGATCATTTTTGGCCTTATGTATTCATAATTTCAAATACATTATGGCTTAAGAATATTATGTACTTAAAGAATTCGAATGGTTATTTAATTTTTCATCGTGATTTCAGAGAACCAAATTACCATTGTTTTTATGCTTCTTCTTTATATTTTCTTTTTCATTTTAAGGTGTTACATGGGATAATATGGCATTTAATATAATATTATAATGTTATTCAGATGAGCAACTACTCTTCCATGGATGGAGTCCTCTATTGCAAGCCTCATTTCGAACAGCTTTTTAAGGAATGTGGAAATTTTAGCAAGAACTTTCAGACTTGTGAGATATACTTTCCAATAGCTTATTTAATATATTTGTTAAGCTTCTTCACCAATCAATTTATTCAGTTTTACTAATTATTTTTTCCCATGTAATTAAAAATTTCAGCAGCTAAGCCTGAGAGGGAACATGCACTGGTATGTTCTGTTTGTATCACACAACTCATGATATATCATTATAATCAATTTAAAAAGAACAATTTTAATTTTCTTTGTTTCTGCATGACATTGCAAATGCAAAATTTTCTATTTTATTTTTCCATAAAAAAAAAACCCTAATTTATGATTTTTTTGTGCAGACAAGGACTCCAAGCAAACTCTCTGCCATGTTCTCTGGAACCCAAGACAAATGTGCAGCCTGCAACAAAACTGTCTATCCACTTGAAAAGGTTAATATCATTTATTTTGAAAAACCCATTAACTAGTTAAATTTAGTATTGTGATCCCATATTTAGTATGACGAAATTCATTTACTAGGAAAATTTATTTTATGAGAAAAATCACATTTTTGTGTTTTGGTTACTACAATCAAAAGGGAGAAAATGACTTTCCTCACCTATAGACAAAAGTTATTTTCCCTGCTATTATCTTTTAACTTTAACTTCATATTACTTGCTCTTACGAATATTTTGATGTGATTATTAATTAATATTACCCAATACATTCATCGAAATAACTCTCTAATTTTGCTAATATTTTTATTAATTTTCAATACTCCCTCCGTTTTAATTTTTGTGAACCTATTTGACCGAGCACAGAGTTTAAAAAAAAAAAGAAAAGACTTTTGAACTTGTGGTGTAAAATGAAGCACATATATTTTGTGTTGGTATAAATTATTGCATAAAAGTAAATTATTTTCAAATATGAAAATCGGTCATTCTTTTTTATACGGACTAGAAAAGGAAACAATAAACTAAAATGGAGGAAGTATATATTTTTCCGAGAAATATCTCACCAATCAAACACCGAAAAACATGTTTTGTAAAAAAATTTTTGAAAAATGACTTATATCATATCAAGCACACTCTTAGAAAAAAAAAGTAAATAACAACAACAACAAAAAACCCAGTATAGCCCCACAAGTGGGGGTCTTGAGAAGGTAGAGTGGACGCAGACCTTACCCTTGCCTTTAAAAGGAAGAGAGGCTGTTTTCCGTAGACCCTCGGCTCAGGGAGGATAGGAAAAAGGTAAATAAGATCGGTAAAATACAACAACATGACTACTACCATATCTCAGTTCCAAACAAGTTAGAATCGGCTATATGAATCATCCTCAAAGACTGATAAAATTGATCTTGAAATTCTATTTCAGGTGACAATGGAAGGAGAATCATTCCACAAGTCATGTTTCAAGTGTGCTCATGGAGGGTGTCCACTTACACATGCAACTTATGCTTCACTTGATGGAGTTCTTTATTGCAAGCACCATTTTGCTCAACTCTTCATGGAAAAAGGCACTTATCAACATGTTCTTGAAGCTGCAAATCATAAGAAGATTAATGCTGAAGCACCAGCTACAAATGAACCTGAAGATTATGAGGCTACTAATAAGAAAACAAATGATGAACAACCAGAAAAGGAACCTGATGAGGAAGAGTCACAAGAATCTTAAAATATTGGATCAAATTATTTTCTCAAAACAAAATCCAAATTGTTTGTGTGTTTCTCATCAGTAAATAAAGTTTTTCTTTTCTTTTTGTGATCAATAGACAAACTTCCTTCCTTATTGTAAACATATTTCTTGCCTGGGATTTTCTTTCTTTATTTACATTTCTTTTATTTTGAGCTTGTACACATTTAAAGAACACATATACTTTATGATATAAATTTGGCATTGATTTCAAGTTATATGACGTTATTTGACTGGGCACGAATATTAAGAAAGTAAAAAAAAGACTTAAAATTTTTTATGTCTAAAATATGTCATTAAAAAAAAAAAAAAAAAAAAAAAAAGTAAGAAGTTTTAATTAAATTATTTTTAAATATAAAAAATTATTTTTCGGGACAAATTAAAACGAAAAACGTGTCATATAAAATGGGATATTTCTGTTTTCCTTTCTTTTAGTGAAAAATGCAAAAAAGAAATGTGTTTAGAGTTTAGACTAAGGGTCTCAAATGGACGGTCTGAGCCGATTTTGGGCGGGTTAAAATGGGCTAGGTCAATAAATGGGCGGGTCATTTGACTCGTACAAAAGTTACTTGGGATGGGATGAGTTGGGTCAAGATGCACTATAATTTGGGTCATAGCCCAACCGCCCAACTCTTACCAAATTTTAATTTATATGTGTTATTTTCTTATAAATTGTATAATTACTAAATAAGACTTTTTTCTTTTGTTATGATCATATATAACATATCAAATAAAAAACTGAAAAAAAATTATTTCTAAGATATTTTGACAAAGTTACTCACAGATCAATTTGGGTTAAAAGTTAGTTAACTTTAGATGAGTTGAGATATGTTGGGTCAAGATAGATTCCGTTTAATAAATAGGTGGGTTGGACGGGCCATTTGGGGTTGGGCACTGCACTAGTTTTAGGCCGTAATAGCACGGGCTAGCCAATTTTCGGACCGGTAATTGAAAAATAGTCAGTATTTGTAAAGTCATTGAAAAATAGCCATTATTTTGCTGCAACATGGAAAGTTTCAGCATAATATATTGAAAAGTGGTGCACATGTGTATGAACTTCCACCATATTATGCTGGAACTCCAACACTCGGAAAGTTCTAGCATAATATACTGCAGATTGGAGCACCTGTATATGAACTTTCAGCATATTATGCTCGACCAGTATATTATGCCGGAAGTCTAATATATTATGCTGGAAGTCCAGTATATTATGTTGGAACTCGAGTATATTATGTTGGAAGTCCAGTATATTATACTGGTATATTTTCCAGATTTTGAACAGTATTTTCATTCAAATTTATCTTTACTTGAAAAATGGCTAAATTTCAATTACTTTTGAAACTGTGACTATTTTTCAATTACCACTTGTATATTTGGCTATTTTATGAATTTCACCCCTACGTTAGACCCTCAGAGAATTTCAAAAAGCGTAGGGGAGCACTTTCTAAACTCTTCCAATCACTTCTATTACATTTAAAAATTACTTTGTTTCTACCCCCAATAGTTTCATTGCTTCTTAAAATAAAACCCTGTTTTTTCTCTCTCCCGAGCTCAGAATTCCCTTAGAAAAAAATGAACCCCAGAATTGATAAACTCGTTAGAAGGACGACTATGGTGGCTACTGTTACTGCTTCTTATTTTCTTCTCACTGCTGATTATGGCCCTGAACCCAATGTTCTTGACCCGGTATAATTTCTAATCAATTTTCATTTTTAATTGCATGTTGATGTTTTAATCTTGAATCTCATTTTTTTTTGTTTTTAGTACGTCATTTGTGTGTGACTAGTTGATTGTGAAATTTAATACTCCGTATTTGGTTTTGAACTAGTATAAATGTGGAAAATTAATTGTGCTCCTGTAGAGGAAATGATCTCCTGTGCCTACTTATAATTTGAATTAACAAAATCACTCTACAAAGATTCGCTGTGTTTTATTAATTGTGTTATCGTTTACTGATCTCCTGTGAAAAGGATCATAACTAAAATATCTTATTTGGAAGGCAAAACCAAATCTCCTGCTGCTGTATGGGGGTAAAGGAAATCTCAAAGTCATTGAGTCAATTGGGCTTAAATCATTTTTAAAAAAAAAAATCCTCAATTGATTGGAAAAATCTACTGTTAATAGTCACAGATGTCTCTGAATAAGTTGCCTCTTACATATCTGGTGAAGAATTTAGCCTTTCTTGTTTGGATTGGTCCTGCCTTTTCTGGAGTTTTTAAGAATTATCGACTTACACGCGAAGTTACCTTTTCTTTCCCTTTGTAAATTAGCATATTAGAATGGAAAAATGTAATGGAGTGAACGAATAGGTTGGTTTGTTCTGGAACATACTGTAGGAACTTGGTAATCGGAATATTGGAGTAATACAAGAAGAATTACGCCTCAATCCCAAGTAAGTTGGTGTCGGATATATGAATCCTTGCCGACCATGTCATTCCATTTGATATTATCTATGGCCAATGTTATGCAAAATGAAAATGAAAATAAAGGTATTGGAAGTTCTCTATATTTTCCGGTAGCATATACTCCATTTGTTTCAATTTGTGGCAATAATACCATCTGGGAAGTCAAAAAGGTTACTTCACCTTTTGCACTTGTACCCACTACTCATACTCGACTCAGTTTATGCACAGATGCATGGGATGCTGCCGGGAGAAGTTGAGCTTTGCAGTTGGAAGTCTATTTCTCGTAATTGACTTTTAGTATGTGCTGGATAGTATGTGGGATTTCACTAGGTCGTTGTTGTTGTATGTGCTGGGTAGCGTGCTCTGCGGGAATTGTGTGTCTGGAAGTACTAAAGAGTATAGGCCAACTTGTTTTTCCTTAATGTCTTTTTTGCCCGAAATTAGTGTGGCCTCTCTTTGCGCACAAGTAATGTAGTGGCAGACTTGCTGTCTAACTTTGTCTTTGACCCTTGGAGCTATAAAAGTCCTGGTGATTATAGTTGACTAAACATTGTGTAGCCTGCATGATATATCAACTGTTGTATTTTGTTGCACTCACTTCGTCCAAAATTGTCCTTATCATCGCTTCTTATAGAAACCCACAAAAAAATTTCATAGTTCTTTTTGAACTAGCTTGACAATTTAATTAGTAGAATGGAACAATCAATGAGTCTTGTGACAGATTTGTTAATTATATAGCTTGCGGTTTTATCAGAGACTTGAGGGTTTGGTAGGTTGCAGTTTAATGTATACGTCACCAGTCTTATGTGCAAAACATCCTTTGCTGGTATTATTCCTGCTGCTCTCTTAAACTGTTTATATCCTTCCCGATGATTCCATGTCTTTCAGTTTTGGATGATGACTATCGTACTGTGGAGTCTCCTTCCCTACCCTAGTGCAGTCATCGCTGGACATCATAGAGATCCCCTTAATTAGGTCATGTGTTTGTTGGTTTGTTGAACTTAAAAGAAACCCTCTATACTTTCTTAGACATTGAAAACAATCTTTCAAACCTTGTTCCAGGCAGAAACTGCATCTCTTTGAATTGCTGCAATGTTTGGTACTAGCATAGCATATTAGAAATTGTCATCTCTTTTTTCTCTCAAAGTTATTATCAAGTAACCTTTCAAGAATTTGCTTGGTTTGTTGCATATTATTTTGCTTTGCAATAAGCTCTTCCTGATGTGTTGTTTCTGCTTTTAAAATGTCAGATTAAAAATGCAATACTATCAGCAGAACATTCTCTGAAAGAGTCGATATTTGGACCAAAGAAAGGTGTTCAAGAACGCGAGACTGAGAAATTGGCCCCTAGCTCATCGGAGAAACATCAAAAGTCTGGTGGCTAGCTTGTTTTCTCGTCCAAGGAGGCAGAATGTAGGACTACAGCAACTCAACATCTGAAACTCTACTTTACTTTCTGAATTCTTCTTTGGGTGAATGTGAATATTAGAATTGGCCTTGTTTAAGCATATTACTGATGCTGTAAATGTGATCGATGCTGCAGCGTGTTTATTTTGGTATCCAGGGATCTTTTATCAGTTGAATGAATTACACTTTTCGTCTATAACCTGACAAGCTCACCTTCATGTGAGCTGTTATTCTCATGAGTTTTAACTCTTTTAAGAAAAACTCAGTTCAAAAGAGTATTAATGTCGAATCAAGGTGCAGTTTATTTATTGTCGTTTCCTGCCTTAACTGTTACATGCTTTACTTGTATTTCTATGCCTAATTACTACTTGTTAGACAGGTCTCGGCAGGCAAAGTTAAAGCTATAGCATGGCCTCCTTTACGGTATCATATGTTCTTTTGATGTTTTCACGACATGGTTTGTGTATGTGGTCAACTCGAGCTAAGGTGCATTGTTACATGTCACACGGTTGCTTGTGTTTTTAGCGTTGTTTGATGTGTTTTGAGGGCTCGACTAAGTTCGTATGGTGTTTTAGGATTGGTTAGTATGTTTGGTTGAGGTCCCGGGGGCCTCGAGTATGTTTCGGATGCTCAACGGGTTGAAATTGGGTTTTAGGTGTATAACCGGAGCCTGTGGAAATTCATGAAATATGTGCATTTTTTTTTGGCCATCTTGGATGAATTGCTTCTGGAGTGCGACATGTAGGAACAGGGTTTAGTTTGGTTTGGTTTCCATAAAAATCGAACTAACCCGACTCATGTACACTCCTAACTTGCATGAAGTTTCTTAGTGCGCATTTTCGTATCATACTTCAGCCATACCTGAACAGCGCCTGATGTGTTAGATTAGATGCACGTCGCGAGTTCAAACTCTATTACGGACCAAAAGACTGATAATCAAGTAGAGAAGAAAAGAAAAGCGAGCCCGTTAACCACAGAGTTTTAAACTGAGAGTCAGTTTGCCCTCGGGATTTCTTGATTATCGACATAACATGTAATAACAAAGATCGGAAGATTTCTGTTTGGCTCAAAAGATACTAATTACTTTGTAAGCGAAACAATCAAAATGAATCAAAGGTAAATCGTAATCGAATATAATTAGACCTAGAAATATGTATTATGCTTGTGATTGTTTCAACAACTTGGATATTCGAAAGAGAGTAAGAGAAAGCTTGTTGAGAGAGAGAGAAATAGAAAGAAAAGATAGCTTATTATTGAAAAGATCTGCCCCTTTACAACATTGGGATTCTCCTTTATATAACAAGAGAACCCCCTCAAAAATAATAAAATAATACAGGGATAGGTCACGTGCTTTAGAGGAGACGACGAGATCTAAGGACACGCTTTCGCTCTGACATTCTTAGATCGTCCCCTCTACTTCGGCTATTGCTTAGTCGTGGGTCATCGCTACCATAGTGGGCAGAATTCGACCCCATACAGATAGTCCCTCCGTTCGTTGGTGACGTAACAAAGTGTGTCGCCGATGGACGGAACCATGATCCTTGTACTAGAAAAATTTTGACCATGTTTGGAGACGACGACGTGGGGAAGGCGATCATTTGAATTTGTTGATCTATTGGCGCGCAATCCCTTCCCTGAGATGACGTCACCATATGCAGGCGTCATCATTACGCGTGTTCCCGAGGAAGTACAAAAGGTGTTCTGATGCTTGGTTTCCCGCGCCTGTTTAGGGTTTTGCCTCTTCGATTTCAACGCTACCCAATCCTATAAATAGGGAAAGGGTTCAACTTAATCTAACTTTAGATCATCTGCAAACGTTTTCCAACTATTTCAAGAAAACGCTTCCTTTTTACGAGAAATCACCGCTTCCCTGAAAGTACACTTATGGTTGCGTATTACATCACTCCTTAATCAGAAATCATGACAAAACCTAAACGGGATAACGCTCCGGGGGCTTGTAATAATAAATCATCGGACATACCGCCTCCATCCGGCGGCAATAAGGGAGAGAAAGGGGAGGATCTCACCCCTCTTACCGTAGATAACGTGCTCCCGAAGCAACTCCTTATTAGGAGGGACTTTCAACGGGATTCTCCCGAACAACCTTGGGAGAAATCTGAGTTAAATCAAACTGATTTAGATACTCTTCGTGCGTCGTATGATATACCCGCTCACGTGGAGATGGTTTTGGCAGGAGCGGACAACGCGAATACCCATAGACCGGGATACTGTACGTTTTATGAATATCCCTTTTTGATCGGCTACGGCCTCCCCATTTTTCCATTGGAGGAAGAACTCTGTCGTTACTACAACATGTGTCCCACCCAACTCACTCCGTATACCCTAAAGGTATGTAGGGTAATGTCTACATACGCGGAGCTGGTCGGGCTGGAGGTCTCCGTTCACCACCTATTGCAGCTATTCAGCGCCAGCTACCTGAGGGGCACCATGCTGCATCTAAAGAATCGTGGCTCGAAGGGGTTGGTTGTGCAAACCGACGATCGGGCTAACCGGGGCTATTGGCGTAGATACTTCTTTATCAAGACGGAGCACCTGGTGTCTAACCCCGTCGGATTCTCTGAGAGGTGGAATTCGAGACGTAAGTATTACTATCCGTCGAGTCGTTTATCGTACGTGACTTTAGCGGTTCTGATTATACCATCCTTATGATTTCTCTGTTATTTTGCAGCAATAGCTCACGTCCCCCGGTTCATAACCGATATCAAGCAGTGGGTGTCCGGTTTGCTGCCTCTCGCGGAAGAGACCCGTACGTGGCTGAATTCATTGAACGTTACGGTCCCGCGAGCCCTTCAGGTATTTCTTCGATTTTAATTAGTCGCTTTCACAAACTTCGTCAGCTAAATCACTTTTATTGCCAAGTCGAAGTGCTCCTAAGAGGAGGGCGACGACATCCGCCTCCTCCCGATCAGATGTTGGTCAGAGTACGCAGGAAATACTTTGTGCTTCTATCAGGGAAGGGGTGACCGTAGCCTCTTTACAAGAGGCTGCTCCTGCAGAGGTGGCTACAAATGAGGCGAGGTCGCCGACATTGTCTCCGCAACCTGCGGACGAGCCTTCCGAGGGCGAGGAGCCTGAGGAGAGAAAAGGAGGAGGCTCGTGATGGGCAAGGCGATGGCGACTGGAGATGAAGAGGGTGACGCGCCTCCCCAAACAACTAGGCCCATCTTTATGGCCGACGCCATCCGTTCGGGGAGGCCGGCCAACCCGATAAGTGCTAATGTTGGTACCAGCTCGGCTGGTGTTGCTGAGGGTGTCTCATCGCCCCTTGTTGGTGGCGACGCTGGGGGACCAACTGCTGAGGCCGCCCGCGGGAATGTGGATGAGATGGCGGAAAACTCTGCACGCGTAGAGATGACAGCAGACGGATCTGGCCGCCGCATCGTGATTCTAGGGGCTTACAACTTGTTACAGCACAGCGAGCGGGCTGCACTGGAGATGGCCCTACTGTGTGCTGCCCTTGAGCACGAGATGCTGAGCGTTGTCAGCGACGCGGAGCTGTCATGGAGGGTCGCTGGTATGGCGTTACAGGTAACTTCTCTGTTCTTCCGTGTGTCGTGAAGTTGATTTTGATGAGTACTAACTTACATGCATGTATATATATTCTTCTTTAGACCCTGGTTTTGGAAGTGGAGAGGAGGCGCCGTGAGGAGAAGAGAACGACCATTTTTGATAAGATGGTGAAGAGGTATAAACGGTATCGCTCCAAGCATCAAGCGGCGGCGGATCTTTTCCGGCAAGATCCACAATTCCAGGTGTTCCGGGAAGGCCTCGAACAGAGGGAGGCACAATTGAGCCGCAGGGCGGCGGAGCTGGAGAAAACGGATGAGGAGTTGGTGAAGGCTGTGGCTCGTAATAGCGAGCTGGAATCACTCCTCAAACTGAGGGAGGAGGAGTTGGAGCTCAGCCGTGGAGTGGCGGCGGAGGTAGCCGATCTTCACCGTAGGGTGGCGGCTTTGACAGCCGAGCTCGAAGCTAAGGCGGCTGAGATCGATGTCCTCAGGCGTACTGCCCCGCCACGTCCCGGGGACGCGACCCAAGATGCGCACTAGATGTGGATATATGCGGAGGCCAAATTGGACGTGTATAAAAAACTTCTTGTTGCGGAACGGGTCTCTGAGGAGGAAGTTCAGGAGCAGTGGCGCGAGGCTCGTGCCGCTCGTGTAGCTTGTGGGTACAGCTCCGACTCTCCTGACCGAGAGGGCTATACTTCGGAGGACGTCAACCGGCTCGAGTCCGACCCATGGTTTAATGAGACTTACCGCCTCGGTGGCGATGGTCGAGAAGGAGAGCAAGCGGATGGCGATGGTAAATCTGGCGAGGCTCCTTAAGACTTGTATAGGTTTTGCCTTTTTTCTTTTTGGAATGTAATGGGAGTCCTCCATGGGACTAAATGTATATAATTTTTGTCATAGTGAAAGAATTATACTTTTGTTGCTATTCTTTTGTGTTGTTCTTTGTTTATACATGGTTTGTCACCGTCGAGCGGGGTCGACGATCATTGGCGATGGCCTTTGGCCCATAGGATGTAACTTTAACTGTCGTTGAAGTGTTATCCGTCGTCGTCGAGCGGGGTCGACGATCATTGGCGATGGCCTTTGGCCCATAGAATGTAACTTCAACTATCGTTGAAGTGTTATCCGTCGTCATCGAGCGGGGTCGACGATCATTAGCGATGTCCTTTGGCCCATAGGATGTAACTTCAACTGTCGTTGAAGTGTTATCCGTCGTCGTCGAGCGGGGTCGACGATCATTGGCGATGGCCTTTGGCCCAGAGGATGTAACTTCAACTGTCGTTGAAGTGTTATCCGTCGTCGTCGAGCGGGGTCGACNATCAGTGACTATGTCCCAGAGTTCATAGTCTTCTCCTATGATGTGATCTCTCATCCTGTTCTTCCACCAAGAATAGTACTGTCCATTGAAAAGTGGAGGCCTAGCAGTGGATTGCCCTTCCCAGTTCCCAAGTGGTGCACTCATGTTGATCTTTTCCTAAGGTGTTAGCCTCTTCAAGGATAACCCGCTCTGATACCAATTGATGTTCTAAACGTCAATACCACACAAGAGGGGGGGGGGTGATTTGCGTGATACCCAATTTTTCGCTTAAACTACTTCTGGAAGGACCTGGTTCTTCTAGGTGTACTAACTACTACTGTTAACGGAATAATAAGTACATAAAATAAAGAACATAGAGATTTTTACATGGAAAACACCTGGCTCAAAAGGTGAAAAAACCACGACCTACTACTCAGTAGAATTTTCCCAAACTTCCACTAAAATCACTGAGCCAAAA